GAAACCAGATCTTGCTGATCCCCATCTGGCTCCAATTACCTCATTTATTCCAAGATCCTCTTTCTCCTCCAGGCATAGAGTTATAGAAATTTTTGGCTTAGAGAGTCATCTTGTTTTTATGTGATGAGTTTGAGATCTCTAAGCAGTCAAGGGACAGAGCCAAGATTAGAACCTTCTAATTTCTTTTATCTCCATCACCACCACCACCACCATCATCATCACCATCTCTTCAGTATTCTCCACACAGTTTTGAGTAATGTACTTTATAACCATTACTGATTGCTTGGATCCTTAAAAAAATATTTTTGAGATAGAGCTCTTCACGGTGTTGCTCAGACTCATCTCAAATTTGTAATCCTCCTTCCTCAGCCTCCTGAGTAGCTGAACTCTTTTTCTTTATATCCCAAATGATTGCTGTTTCATCACTCAGTGTGTGTCCATCATGCTTAAGCTTCAAGGAGGCCAGAGTTTGTGCAGTGGAAGAAGCATAGACATTGATGCAGGAAATCCAAAGATTTACATATGAAATGTCAGATATTAAAATACAACTTACTGAACTGAAAGAACAGGAAAGCTAAGGACCATACTGATCATAATATCAGGAAATGTGACCCTACTCTTGCCTAATAGAAGTCATAGGAGTCCATGAGTATGAAGATTCTAAATTCAGATGGGCCTGTCAATTGCTGATAGGGTGCTGTGCTAACCTTGGCTATTGTACACCTGACAGCAATCAGTCAGGAGACTGTAGCTAACCCAATACAACTGGCAGCTCCACTACTTGTCCTGTGGGGGCTAAAATGGTGAAGTGATATAAAGCAAGTGCCTCCGTGGTCCTGTTGATAAAGCTGAGAGAATGAAGCAGAACTTCAGAAAAGCAGAGATGAGAGGCAGTAATCTTGGGTCCAGATTCACACCCCACCTCTTTGTGTGGTCTATACAAACCCAGTAAATCCACCAGACCCCTTCTCCCCGCATCACGCTTGAACCAGTTGAATGTGTTTCTTTTGCAACCAAGAAGTCTTGACTAAGGCCCTCATCTTCTCCATGGAGCTGAAAGATGAACCAGGGTTGCCAAGGACTCAGGACTTTGTTTCTTCTCTTAGGAGGCCATGCTTATCAGTCTGATCTTCTGTGATCAGATCTCACAGTCACGGTTATTTTTCTCAGTCCCATCCCCCATCCAGGCAAACACAGCAACCATCCCCAGTCTTCAGCCTTCACTAACTTCATTTCCTCTCAGTTACTTCCTTCAGAAGAACTGAGAGGAGGCTTATTTGGTTGGGGACAGAAACAAGCTCAAAGCTTTGTTAATGTGAATCTAACTGGCCTTTAGCTTTTTGCCTTTCCCTACCTGTTGGGAGGCAGAAAGGTTATTGGTCCAGCTTTCGTCACTAGCACCCCACCATCATGATTTTTGACATTTTCACATAAACCTGTATAAATATTTTCTTAATTTAAAAAATGGACTTTCTTTTCTTTTATCTTCACCTATGACATTAGTGAGACCCCTATGGGTTTGCTATACATATTGTATTTTTTCTAATATATATTAAAATGCGAAACTATTAAAATAAAAAAATTTACAAATTTATAACATCTTTTAAAAATATTTTTAGTTGTAGATGGTCATAATACCTTTATTCTATTTATTTAGTTTTATGTGGTGCTGGGGATCAAACCCAGTGCCTCTCATGTGTTAGGCAAGTCCTCTACCACTGAGCCACAACTCCAGCCCCCACTTTATATCATCTTAAGGAACATTAATATGTGTGTGGGTTTTAGGGCCAGACAGACCTGGTTTCAGGTCTTAGCTCTGCCTCATAACACTTATATGTCTTTGGATGAGCCACTTTCTCTGGACTCCATTTTGAAGCTCAGTGATAGAACACTTGCCTAGCATGTATAAGGGTTTGATCCAGAAACACAAAATAAATACACTACAATTTTGCCATAAGTGTGTATTCCTTAGAATCAGATTGAGGGTTAGATGGGATACATGTATGTATTTACTTATTTAATGTTTTTTTTTTAAGAGACAGGGTATGTCTATGTTGCCCAGTCTGGCCTCAAACCGTTGGACTCAAGTGATCCTCCTGCCTCAGTCTCCTAAGTACCTGCAACTGCAGGCATAAGCACCACATCTAGCTTTTTTAATTTTTTAAAAATGGAATAAATTTAAACATAATGAATTTCCACTGCTTAGCACAAGCCCCAGCATACAGTAGGTCCTCAGGTGATGTTAACAATTACTGGCAATACTATACCCTCTGCTCCACTTTGTCTGTTCCTCTTTATTTCCTTTTTTTCCCTTCTCAATCTGTTTGAAACAGACACCAACATGAAATGGGTTTGTTTACTGAAGTATATGAAACGAGTACAAATCCCTTCAGCATAGAGATCTGGCTGTGGTGCATCCTCTAGTTCCAGGTTTATAGTATCTAGTGATGTGACTTATCACCCCATTGTGCTTAGGCGGCTGAGATAATGGCAGTTTGTTACTATATAGTTTCCAAGGTGTTCAGAACCTTCGTGGACATTCTATAATGTCTCAATTAGGTGTGAATGAACAAATGTAATGTCCTCATTTTTCTGGTGGGGAACCAAGGACACTCTGCATGGCACCTGGTTCACAGGCCAAGATACTGCCTTAGAACATTCTCATATTGACCTGGAAGGTGTTCATGGAAGTAAGCAAAAAAGTGTTCTATGCACAAATAAATCTGTGGACACTGAATTTTAAAAAGTTAAAACACATTTCTGCAAGACTTGTCAATCTTTAATAAAAATGATATGAATTATGATTCTTCAACAGAGAGAGAAAGCATATATCATTTTCAAAATCTGACCATTAAGTATACCTACTTAGGAATTCTTTTTTGGGGGGAAGGGGTGGGTACTGGAAACAAAATCCAGGGGTGCTTAACCACTGAGCCACATCCCCAGTCCTTTTTATTTTACTTACTTTTTTATTTTAAGACAGAGTCCCACTAAGTTGCTCAGGTGGGCCTTGAACTTGCAATCTTCCAGTCTCAACCTCCCAAGGTCACTAGGATTATAGGCATGTGCCATCATGCCCAGCTCTACTTAGGAATTCTTAAGATAGGAATTCTGTTTTGTTTGTTTGTTTGTTTTTGGTTTTTTTTTTTTTGGGGGGGGGGGTTGCCTTTGTTAATGCTTTATTCACTCAAATCAATATAATTTCATTCTATAGGTTCTTTTTGTTTTTTAAAGAGAGAGTGAGAGAGGGAGAGGGAGAAAGAGAGAGAGAGAATTTTAATATTTATTTTTTAGTTTTCGGCGGACACAACATCTTTGTTTTTGTATGTGGTGCTGAGGATCGAACCCGGGCCACACGCATGCCAGGGGAGCACGCTACCGCTTGAGCCACATCCCCAGCCCTCTATAGGTTCTTAATCCAGAAAATGACAACCCTTAATGCACTGCAACAAACATAATAAATTCACAGCAAACAATTCTAGATTAATTCTAAGCAATGCAAACCCGCTTAATCATGACAGGCTCATGACAGACATTTACTGAGTCAAATTATGTGTGAAGACTAAAGATAGGAATTCTTAAGATCCTCAGAACACTAGTTTGGGAAGCAGGACCTTCACTGATTATATTGGCATAAATTCTACCCCTCCAGCTCCCTTCTGTTATAAAAGCAAACTGTTCTTTCTTGCTAAAACCAAACCAAAAAAATATCTGAAATAATGCTACCCCCAGATCACTTAGTCCTATCCTAAAAATTAAGTTCATTCTTGTACTGCTTATTGCCACATGCCTGGAGAATTAATATCCTCCATAGCTTATCTTTTTATTTTATCTGATTATGTATGATCACAATACCTTCATTTATTTACTTATTTTTATGTGGTGCTGAGGATTGAATCCAGTGCCTCAAAAGTGCTAGGCAAGCACTCTACCACTGAGCTCCAACCCCAACCTCTTAGCTTATCTTTGGTCACCTACCTGTTTGCTGATATATAATATTTCAACTCTCATTGTGGTTCTTAACTTCTTTGGTTAATTTGAAATTTTTCCTTTTCAAAAATTTTTGAGAACTTTGGGCTGGGGCTGTAGCTCAGTGGAAGGGCACTTGCCTTGTATGTGTGAGGCATTGGATTTGATCCTTAGCACCACATAAAAATAAACAGATAAAATAAAGGCATTCTGTTCATCTACAACTACAAAAAAAATTTAAAAATTTTTTTGAGAACTTGAAATAACATGAGAAATCACTTCAAATTTTAAATAATAAATATTGATTGAAAGAAGAAATGCATATGTACCTTATCCAGAAAGAAAGACAAATCATACAGACTTAATCATAAAGACTGAAAGACAATAACACTTCTAAAGTGGTTCTGACAAATGGAATCAAAGAATCTCATCTCTTGACACAGTCTGTTTTTCAATTCTGAAGTGATTTATTTATGTGGTTTGTTGTTCTTTTTACAGAGCTGTGGATCAAACCCAAAGCCTTGAGTATGTTAGGCAAGAAATCTATCATGAGCAACATGTCTAGTTCTCCTTTGTTTTAGTTTACAGATGAGGTGTATTATGAATCCTTGGAATTATCTTGACTCTGTTTCTTATTTGGGTGTTGTTATTTATTTATTTATTTGGTACTGGGGGTTGAACTCAGGGGTGCTTTACCACTGAGCCACAATCCCTAGCCCTTTTAAATTTTTATTTGGAGACAGGGTCTTGCTAAGTTGCTTAAAGCCTCACTAAGTTGCTGAGGCTGATCTTGACTTGTGATCCTCCTGCCTCAGCCTCCTGAGCTGCTGGGTTTATAGGCATGCACCACTGCACCTGGCCCTCGTTTGAATGTTTAATATAAAACACCTCGGGGGAACAAAAGAAAATGATAAGTATTGAAGTATCTGATTTAGAAATATGAAGTATATCCTAAAATACATAACCACACAGAGAACTCCTCTATTATACCACAGTGGGAGATCAGAACTAATCCCAGGTTATAGACTCACCTTGATTATATCAGACTTTTACTTAGCAAAGTGGCCATTTTAAGGATTGACAAGAAGTTTTCTCCTGCAGATGAGGCTTCCTTGTTAGAAGAGGAATGAAGCACAGTTAATGGAAAGAACCTGAAAAAGAGATAGCGTGATTAAAAGAGGACTCATGCTTTGTTCATTTTTGCTTTTTTTTTTTTTTTTTTTTGGAACCAGGGATTGAACTCAGGGGCACTTAACCACTGAGCACATCCCCAGCCCTTTGTTTGTGTTTTGTTTAGAAACAGGGTCTCACTGAATTGCTTAACACCTCAATAAGTTGGTAAGGCTGGCTTTGAATTTGTGATCCTCCTGAGCCCCTGGGATTACAGGCATTTTTGCTTTCTGAAAAGGTTTGAGACAGCTTGAAAGAAAAACATGCATATTATAAAGTTAGAATCAGATTTTTTTTTTATTTGAAGTACTAGGGATTGAACAAGGGCCTCCTGCATGCTAGGTAAGTGTTTCACCACTGAGTAACACCCCCATCCCTTTTTATTTCATTGTGAGACAAGGTCTCACTAAATTGCCCAGGTTGACCTCCAACTTTCGATCCTCCTACCTCCGCCTTTCCAGCAGCTGGGATTACAAACGTGAGTCACCATGCTAGGCCTTTTAGATCTTTATCTATTTCTGAATCATGCCTCATGTTAACTGTAGGTCATTTGGGACTCATTTATACATTGCCCTTACTTCAGGACCCAGCTGATGAAGACTGTCATTACTGAATAGGAAACACTGATGATAGCTAGAGCAAAAGAAAAAAAGAACACAGTACATATGGTTCTCAAATCTCTTGCCTGGAAGTAACACTTCCACTCATATTTTGCTGACCAAAGTAAGTTATCAGGTTATGCCTCATTTTAAAGGACATAAGGATGAAGAACTTCCCTAAGAGTTTTACGTAGAACAATAATTATCAGAATCCCATAGCCTCAAACTAGATCCCTTGCCGCAGAGGCTGACACTGTCATGAATGTGATGCATATTTAGATCCTATTATATATTTTTACTATAAATACACTATACTACATATACAATATAGTTTTCATTTATGTATTTTATAAAATACTTGTGAATGTCATCAAACTTTTTTTTTTTTTGGAGCGGGGGTTATCTTACCAGGGATTGAACTCAGCGGCACTTAATCACTGAACCACATCACACCCCAGCCCTGTTTCATACTTTATTTAGAGGAAGGGTCTCACTAAGTTGCTTAGCGCCTCGCTTTTGGGGAAGCTGGCTTTGAACTCGTGATCCTCCTACCTCAGCCTCCCAAGCTGTGCCACCGTGCCTGGCGTCATCATACTTTTTATAATGTTTTACTTGTGTGTGTGTGTGTGTGTGTGTGGTACTGGGGATTGAACCCGTGGACTTGCACTTACTAGGCAAACACTCTACAATCCTCAACCCTTTAAAAAATTTTTTTTTTGTTTTAAGACAGGATCTTGCTATGTTACCCAGGTTGGCCTTGAAACTTGTGATTCTCCTGCTTCAGCCTCCCAAGTAGTTAAGATTACAAGAGTACACCCTGCAATGTTTTAAAATTTTTAATTAACATTTTACTCTCACCATTTATCTATGTTGAATCATACAGATCTGGTTCAGTTACTTAATTCTGCACTATAAATATGCTGTGATTGGAAGCAAATTACTTCCAATTTTTTTATTATTACTGTTAGCTTTAAGCAGGTATTTTTAGGGACAACCATCAATATGCTGCAGGGATAGGTGGAAAGCTGCTGTTCCTTTAAGTAACCGTTTACAAGTCTTCAAAGTTATTATTATTATTTTATTTAAGTAAGGCCCTCCAGAGAAACTTATAAGGAACCAGCCAAAATCTCTGAGTCACTCTGACCCACCCTTTCTATATGACCTAGAATAAACTTTGCTCATTATAATACTAAATTCTCCACCCAGAGGCATTCTTGTTGGCCATTTTTTGAACATGAAATGTATAAAGAACATTATCTCCAACTGAGCCCAGGAATGTTTCCACCTCTACATGTGGTAATGAGCCTTCCTTATATGAATATGCACAAGTCTCCCAATAAAAGTCCCTTGCTTGGGGAGCCACTGCATTGAGAAATATCTCCAGTGCTCCCCTTACTTGCTGCAATTGACAAAGTTTCCTTCAGTCATTTATTTCCTGATTGTACGTATGGGCTTCACATTCACCAAGGGCAAACCCATTGCATTCAGTTACATTACTAATAGTGGGGTATTGTAAAATATGTTTGGGAAATTCCCTGGTATTCTTTCTCAACTGGGTATAATAATACAAACACTAATGTCATAATGCAACCACTGTATGTAATAAATCAACTTCTCTCCTGTGCAAGTAGAATGATACTAGTTATATGCCATCCTTGGAATCAGTTATTCTAGTTCTATGCTATAGTTCAGAAGAAGAATGTCAGTTTGAGAAAGGTCATTCAGAACTCTAAAGTAGATGTGAGGTCTCAAACTACAAATATTTCCAAACTTGCTAGATATTTTCAAATTATTCTAAAAAATGGACCTTGTGATTTACCCTTCTGTCAGATGTGTATGAGTTCTCATTTTTCTATGTATGAACCAATGCTTATTATTGTCAGACAGTTTAATTCTAGTCAGTCTCATGGGTGTGAAATAGTGTCTCATTATCAGTTGAGGTTGCATTTCCTTGATTACTAGTCAGGTGAAGCAATTTTTTCATATCTGACTATTCAGTTTCTTTTTCTGTTCATTATCGGTTCAAACGTCTGGTTCATTTCTCTGCTGGTTTTTTTTTTTTTCTGTTGATGTATAGTAGTTTTTTATACCTTTTGAATCTGTTGCTTCACCTGTTACATATATGGCCACCTTCAGGTGATTCTGATATATCTTCCACCTATACATCATCCACAACCACCATGGACATGACTTCTATCTCAAACATTTTATATTTCTATGTATTGACTCCCTCTTTCCAGGTATGTGCCTGTGAGTGCTTGGGCTCTCTCTCTCTCTCTCTCTCTCTCTCTCTCTCTCTCTCATCCAAGCTAGGAAATTTTAAACAATACTACAAAGAGTTTTTTAAATATATAGCTCCTTTTTTTTTACTGTTGTTGTTGTTGCACTCCTGGGATTGAACCCAGGGGTGCGCTACCATTGAACTATATCCCCAGTTCTTTTTATTTTGAGACAGGGTTTTTTTAAGATGCCTAGGCAGTCCTAGAATTGCAATCCTCCTGCCTCAGCCTCCTGAGCTTCTGGGAGTATAGGCATGAGTCACTGTGCTAGATGCATTTTATATATTCCTTCTATTTCTAAGTAACTGCTTCTGTGAACAGAGGTCATGTTCTAATCTTACCTAAATTGCAAGTGATATTTGAATGGACAGATCTGTATAAGGCTGTGTTTGATGAAATACATTTAAATTGTTATTTAAAGATGAGGCTGTCCAATGCCTTCCTCATAGAGGCTGTCTTTGACCCATCAGCCAGTAGAACTGTTAAAAATAAGCTGACTACTTATTTAAATGAAACTGGATTTGTGGTCACCTCCGAACAGACCAAGGCTGAGCTGTCAGTGGTGCCCAGTTCCCATGAATTGGCAGTAGTATCTTGAAAAGGGAGAATTAGCTTAAAAGATGTTCTAAGTGCAAAAATAGTGTAGTAATTACAGGAGTAAGTGGAGAGTCAAACTTTTCTTAAAATATCAACCTTACTAAAATAGACTGAGTGTGGTGGTGTGTTAGGATCATGAAGTTACTTGTGGTATTTTTTTCTCTATTTTCCAAATGTCCTATAATAGATTTATACTCTAGTAATTATTAAAAAATCATAATGAGAACCAAAACTGAAATGTAACCCATTAGGATTCTCTATTTCTCAAGTAGGCAGGTGTTGGCCTTATGTGGGAAGAGAAATCAAAGGCAGAAAAGTGTAAGGGTCCTTCCCATTTGCAGGATTTGAAAGTAAAGTTGAAAGTGCTGGAACGCTGCAGGCTTTTCTAGGTTGTGAGAAGAATTAGCCAAACGCTGAGAATGAGAATGTATTGAAAAATTACTGGTGAAGGAAGGAGAGGAGTGGAAAGGAGCAAGAAAGGAAAATGGTGGCTTGGCCAAGTTCAAGGGTATCCTGGAATAGAAAGCAACATTTGAGAAAAAAACATCTTCTTGATTATTGGGAATATGCAAAGAGCTCCTCTTTAATATGCAGGGCATTCAAAGCAGGGAGAACAAGATGTTTATGTTCCATAAAAATATAATTAATTAAATAAACCAGTTTAGCTTTTGACAAGTCTCTGCTAGCCATGTGCTTCTGCTTTGGCTCATTGGTGCTTTGTATTCAATATAATCATGCAATGAAATTATTCTCAATGTGTTGTCATCTATGTCTTCAGTGTTTCTCATAAATAGCCAACATTTTTCTCCTGTATTTATTTTTGTTTTTTTGGTACAAGGGATTGAACCCAGGGGCAATTAACCACCGAGGCACATCCCTATCCTTTTTTTATTTTTTATTTTGATAGAGGTTATCACTAAGTTGCTGAGGCTGGCCTCAAACTAGTAATCCTCCTGCCTCAGCCTCCCAAGTCCCTGGGGTTACAGGAGTCCACCACCACACCAGGATCTCCATATTTATTGACATATAGAGAAAAAGACACTCATGATATAAAATAAAAAAGAATGCAATATAAGATTTTATATATATAGGGCTGGGGTTGTGGCTCAGTGGTACAGTGCTCACCTAGCATGTTTGAGGCACTGGGTTTTTATCCTCAATACCACATAAAAATAAATAAAATAAAGGTGTTGTGCCTATCTACAAATAAAAATATATTTTAAAAAGATTTTATATATAGTATAATCTTGATCTTATTAAAAGTCTCTCATACTGATTTATATGAATCATTAAGAGAGAGAATGTGCTGTAGAGTAAAAAGCATGGTCTTACTGTCAGGAAAGACAAGGGTATGAATATTGTCTCAGCCACTTACTAGCCACTTGTCTGAACTGGGCAAGTTTCTTAAGATCTCTGACCTCCATTTGTTTTGTCTGCCAGATAGAGGGGCATCAGGGGAAGGATCACATTTATTTTAGGAAAATTAAATTAGAATACATTGAATAG